TCTTGCTCGAGATCGAGACCGGGACCGCGTGGGCGACCGCTCCTTGACGCGCATACTCTCATCTCGCAAAGGGGATTTGCTGTATGGTGGTTAGTCATCAAAGCCCAACGTTGATTGAATGGATACGTACGATCGAACCCTGCGCTGTGGACTAATCGGCGCAACTTCTTTAGTAGATGCAACACTCTTGGGCGGTGGCGGTGGAGGCGCCTGAGCATACCGACCGCTGTTAACACGACTTGAGAATCCAGTGTTGGGCCGACCTTCTCGCATCGCACGTGGCCCGGTGGGTGCACCTTTGACCCCAACACCAATAGGCTCCGTGGGTTGACCTGTCAAAACTGTCGCCGCACCATAAGCGCCGCTATTGAAGCCGCCACGAGGACCGAAATTGCCGTTGTATCCCATGTTCATATTCATGTTCATGTTCATGCTAGGATCGAACGGCGCGTTCATATGCTGAGCCGGGAACTGGTTCATCATTCCTGCTGCGTATGGCATGCCCATACCATTACCCATCATTGACTGATCATAATCCTGCATATCCGCACCACCAGTGTCGACGGTTTGGATCGGTTTCAGCCCATCGTCCTGCGCCGGCTCTTTGGCACTCTCTCCTGTATCATCAGTATTGTTGGCAGCGGCCTGACTTGCATGAAGGCCGGAGCCAGCTCCATGATTCAGTGCCTCAACAGAAACTGCAGCAGATTCGCTATTTTCCTTACCTTCTTCAGTTGGCTCTGTGGAAGCCTTGTCCTGCTCGCCTTCGGCCTTGGCCTCAGTGGCAGTGTTGGCGTTTCCATCAGGCGACTGGCCGTCACGCTGCGTAGAAAAATTCGTGTCAGTCGGATTGTTCCAAGATGTGCCAACCCGATTATTCGAGTTTGGCCGAGAATTTTGGTGGAAAGAACGTACGTTTTCCGAAGGGCCGCCGTGGCTTGTCGGACGGGTATTCGCGCCCTGGAAACCAGGGCCAAAGCCTCCCTGGCTGCCATTCCTGTTGTTTCGTTGGGCATGTGCTCCCCCTTGATTGGCATGGAAACGATTCTGGTTCTGGTTTGGGAAATTATTCTTGGGGAACTGGTTCATCATCTCGGGATATGCTCCAGATTGATTATAGCCACCCATCTGATTGGGCCCGCTGAAGTTTCCATAGCCACCGCCCATTCCATTCCAACCATTACCAAAGCCGCCTCCATACTGCATCATGTTCATGGCAGACATGTCGTTCATGCCCATGTTTCCCCCAAAGTTGCCGTACATGCCGTTCATGCTGTTGAAGTCTAGATGGAAATTAGCGGTTGTTCGCTTGCTAGAATTTTCATCGACACAACGTACCCATGGGATTCATACCATTCCAATTGCCGTTGGCCATCATGTTAGGCATGCCGTTCCAACCCATGCCGTTGTTGAAGCCACCTTGAGCAGGAAAACCAAAACCCATTTGACCTTGCATATTGTTCATCATGGGGTTGGTGCCTGTCATGCCATTGACGCCGGGGGTGTTGCTTGGCTCTTCCGTCGAGCCGTCCGCTGCTGCAGGCTCCGTGCTTTTCGAGATATTCTGCGATGCTCTAGCCTCAGTAGGAGAGTTGACCTGATGTTGGTTAGTAACCGCGACAGATTCGAATTAAAGACACTTGATGTTCATTTGCATGTGCAGCAACGGGTTTTGCATTCTTCAAGAAATGGATGCTCTTCGCCTTGTTCTCTTCTTTTCCTCTTTCTTTACTGTACGATCCCAAGATGCCAACACGCGAACAACAAGATAGACATTGGTTACCTACTTCGTTCAGTTGAGCAGATGCCGAGCCGGCGCGCTGTACAGTCTCTTCCGCATTCCCCACAGAGCCAGCAGCTTCTTCAGCAACATTATCCTCTGCCTTGGGTGGTTCCTCAATGCTGTCTACAGGCTTCCCTATGCTCTCGCTCACTGGCTGCACTTCGGGCGCGGCTGGTGTCGCCTCAACAGGAGGGGTAGCTGCCTGTGCCGCAGCCTTGGCCTCTTCCTTCTTCTTCTGTTTTTGCAGCCATACGCGCATGGTGTTGCGGAGAGACTTGTTGATCGCACACGAATCTGCCTCGAGCGGCGAATGGTCACACGACGGACACGTGGTAGGAAACTGGAGATTTGCCTGGCCTAGAAAATGTTAGTGGGCGGCGATTCTGTTGCAGCTTGGCGATGAATTGATCTTACATGATGAGCAGACTGATTTTGCGCAGCAAATCAGCTTGTAGGAGTCAAAAGCTAGCTGATTGCACAGAGCGCAAAAGAAGTTCTTAGGAAAGGCCGACGTGGGGAGTGAGCTATGGATGTTAGTAACACAGAAGAAGAGAGCAGCAGAGAAGTGCCTACAGAGCGAGATCCTTCAGCTCATCGGCGAGCGGCGCCGCCTTGGGGTCTGCTGCCGAGTTTGCCATGGTGAGGTTGTGCAAGTTCGCGACTTTGGCTTAGGCTGCCGCGCAAACAACTGAGACTGCCGTCGGGCGCGGGGCTTTATTCCATTAAAAAGATAAGAGGGAAAAGAGGGGAGAAGAAAGACGGAACAAGATGATTCCTCGGTGCAGGCACAGGCAAGCAGACGAGGGGGATTGCAGTCGCAGTCGCAGTCGCAGTCGCAGTCGTTGGTGTTTGCCGAGTGACAACTGCGTGCCGCGCGCAAGTTTTCCGGGCGTCGCGATCAACCGCCTGGTCCGTGCCCACAAACTCTAACCGTTGTCACGTGCTCAGCGTCGTCCGCATATGGAAGAGTGCGTGCACGGCATTCCGTCCTCACTGTCCGCCTTGACCTTCAGCTCGGATTCCAGCTGAATTGGAAGGGCCTTTGATACAACCATGACGCGTGTCCTGGTCAGAGAAGGAGCATTGAGTTTGAACGGCTGTGGCGCTAATCGGTTGTGGCTTAGCTAGACCCATGACGGCGTCATCACCATTGTCACTCGACATGGTGCAGACAGACAAAGGAAGCTCACTGACTTCATCTTTATGTATTTCTTGTCAAGATGATCCTGGGCCAGATCTCCTACTTGGACTGCATCGCTTTCCTCGTCTTTCTTGCCCCTCAATTGCTAATCCAGATTGGCATCATCCCCCTTTTGACATGGCTTCTCCCACAGCTACCTTTTCTTAGTGAGTACACATCCTCCTTGTTTTCCGACGTACTGATTCTCATAGGTTTCAAAGTTATTGTTATACCAATCCAATTCATCCATGAGAGATTTTTCGTCCCTCTTGAACAACGTGCACCATGGGTCAGGAAAGCAACACCATTCCAGGACCTCGTCATTCGCTTTGTCCGCTATGCCTTCGCCAACATGCCAGCCTTCCTGGGTAGGGTCTTTTTCTCAAAGCAAGTCTCACTGCCTTTTCTGAGATTCCGAATGTTGCGCCATGGAGTTGTCACCAGCCCCATCCGGTGGACCGAAGTCAAGCGACCAAACTTCAAAGGTGTATGGATTGTGCATAACCAGCAAGAACAGCCAGACTTGATTGTCTACTACTGTCATGGCGGTGGTTTCTCCATGGGAAGCAGCTACTTTTACATGGAATTCCTGCTTGCCTGGGTTGCATTACTCAAAGCCGCTGGGTACGGCAATCCCGCCCTCTTTGCCCTGGAATATACTCTTGTACCAGACGCCACATATCCCACTCAACTTCATGAAACCTTGGCCGGATACGAATATGTGCTTTCCTTGGCTCAGTCGTCAACTCGTATTGTCGTTGGTGGAGACTCGGCTGGTGCTACTTTGATGCTTAGCTTCTTACTCTATTTGTCCGAGCATACCGAGCTTCGACACCAGAAGCCTGGTCTTGCGATCATGATCAGCCCGTGGGTCAAAATCATATCGCCCGATAATAGGAATACCGCGTCAGACTATCTTGACAGCTCCTCGCTGGAACAATACGGCCGACAGTACATTGGAAGCAAAGTTTCTGCAGACGATGCCATGGTCTCGCCTGGAAATTGTAAAGACATCCGGAAGTGGACGGAAGCTTCGCCAGAAAAGGGTTGGTACTTTCTGTACGGCAGCGAGGAGGTGCTCGGGCCAGAAACAAGGAATCTCGTTGCATTACTAGAGAAAACGGGGAAGGAGGTGGATACGTGGGAAGAAAGAGGTGGAATACATGCATGGCCGGTTGCCAGTCTTTACTTGGGTGAGACCAAGGAGGCGAGGCTGAGCGGCTTGAAGAGTGTTGTCGGTGCCATCAAGGAAAGGATTCATCAATAGCTTAATATCGATTTGCATACATCTGAAGGGAGTTAATAGACGAGTTTCCATGTTTCTCGTCGCCATCATTTGTTTCTCTCTTATTACTTCCTATTTATACTATATGATTAACATGAGACAAAGTTCAGTCGTAAAAAAAGTATACATCCATCTCCCTTCCACTACACGCTCCTACGGCAACGACAAATGAAGTTCAGGCAGCTTCTGAAAATCCGTAACCCTCAGTTCCGTTAGGGGATGCCACACGGACCATTTTGATAGATGTTGGTAGCTTCTAAGACTAGTCAAAATGTTGAAAGGAGGATGTACGATTGGCACCAAGACTGGCTTAAACAGTCGTATGAGGATGGGAAAGAAGGAGTGATGAGTTTTTCTTAGCACTTGGTAGATACCCATACTGTACTGTAACACCGAATGGCACGGTGCCGATCGGAGAGATTAGCCTGGATACGAGTGTCGGCGCATATAGCCATACATGTGTTAGCATAGTTGGCGTCTCTGCGTAAAGATGTTCAACAAGAAAGAACATTTACAATGGGGAATACAGCTAATTATGGATTCACAGCAGTGCTTGGGCCTGGTTGGTATCTCGGTAGGTCCTGGGTGCAGGAGCGCACCTAGCAGCTGTGCGCGTCATTAGTGCATACGTAGAGTTCCGTGTCCAGATATTGATCCGAGTAAGACGCTGTAAGAGCGATGTATATTTAATGCATTTGGTATCTAGGTACAGTAAAGAGCAGCTAACTGCACTGGACAAATGAAGTCAAGAATCATTGCGCTTGTTGTCTGGTCCAGCCATTGAGATCAAACCGATGGTTGGTGTAGTGATGAAGGTCGAGATGGAAGCCCTGCTCGTTGCCTGCTCGCTGTAAATCCAATGCCTTGGCGGCCTTTTGGGCGGCATCTAGCAGAGGATCGAAGCCCTTGTCGTGTTTTGATAAGTTGTCGCTTGTGAGCTGATGAGAAGCAGCCTGGTAGGGCTTTGGTGGAGTGCTGGTGGGGGCGGCCGGCGTCGTATCGACAATACGCTGCCCGTCGACGGGTAGCGCTCCGTGATCGGCTAGCGGATAGTATGTGATTGGCTGCATTGCAACGGTAATTCCTTCATCGTCCGTGCGCAGTGTAGAACTATAGCATGTACGATGAACACCAACACATTGAAAAAGCAGTCACGACACAATTGAAAATGCGTTCCAAGTGATTTGAAGGCGAATTCTGTGCATGACGGGAAGATAGTGGTACAAGTAGGAAGGAGGATTAGACTCACGGGTAGGTGATATCTTGGTGGGTAGTTTGGGCAGCCATCTTGGTGGTAGTCAAGAATGGGATTTGAGGATTTGAGGATTTGCAGAGACGGTAGAGCAGCTGGTAAGCAAATCTTATATGTGCTGTACACGGATGTTCAATTTTGAGCAGGAAAATGGACACGTACTTATAATTACCCCAGAGTGAGTGAGCAAGTTCGTTTCGCATACCAGCTCCAGCACTACACACGGTGTGTATGCTCGTCATACCTCTGTGATGAAGAGGTCCCCCCGACTCTCTGGGGGTGAACCAGCCAATCGCCCCTAAGAGGGCTTGCTGGCCGCCAATCAGGGAGCTGCTTGTCCGCCAACAAGGAGGCCAGCCCCCAGGCACATCTTTCCTTTCGCACCGGCAACAGGGATGGCTAGCTCGGTGCAAAGTTTCTGTAGTTCAACATCCGAAGGCTGAGTCCGCTGCATGTCAATGTGAGGACGGGTCAACATCTGTGCTTGAGACAGCTTGTCGCATGGCTCCAAACGTGCCAGGCTGTGGGCTTGGCCTTGTGAATGGCTAATCCAAGTGACACCTTGCCTGGTGGCGTGCACCCCCCTGCAAAGATGCCGATGCTGGTCCATGTGGCTACCAACAAAACTTCCAAAATCCCAAGTATATCCAGAGGGAATGCCTCCCATAGGTTTTGCCTAACATCGCGGCGGCTGACCAGAAGTAACTTCTGTGGTACTAGCGCCGCCAGCGGCGGTTCTGGTGCAGGGGGCTAAATGAAGGATGCATGTCTGCCGCACTACCTTATCCGGCGCAGTTGCCTCCTTTTTGCCTTTGCCTACTATTTGCCTTTGGCTGCCTGATTTTCTGGTCGGCGCACAAGAGCCACAACCGAGATATAAAATCGCTGTTTCCCCGCAGGTTCACTGTCGCGCACCCCACTACCTAGCCAGTGTCTCCCGTAACAATCACTTACTCCTTCACCCTTTTCTATCGCGCCCAACCCCTCGCGTCCACAGTACGCATACCTGAGCTGCTCATTTCTTGTCTGACAGCGACAAGTCCACCCAAGTTACCGTTGCCAGGCCTATGTTCCTCGGCCAGAACCTCTAGAGTTCGAGTCCGACAGTACTACGGGCCGCGGTGCTTATGATACCACCGGCGTACCGGTCGAATCCCATACACTATCCAAGACATCGCTTTAACCGTTTAGCACACCCGTCTTGGTTCCCGAGTTGCTGAAAGCCTTGCAATGTCGTGCATGGCTTACACGAGCGTTACGTATTCCTATCGTGATCAGATCTCGGCTTGCTATCGTTCCTGTGGCAGCGATGCCAAGGACAAAGACAAAGTGCAGTATGCAAGCGCTGACTTTTCAATCAAGTGCATGTTACCGGCTTGTCTGGACGTAGGGCATGTTGAAACAGCGTTAACATTCACGCAAGCAGACCACATGACCAGCTACTGGATCCATTGTCGCGTAACAAAACATCTATTTTCATTGGATGGATGTTGCGGTGGTGGAGGTATAGTATCGCATTTACTGTGACATGTGTGCAACAATCTCACTAAACATGTATTGCTAGCGATAGATTCAACGGCAAGTTTAGCTGCAAAAGCATTATCAACTAAACATCTCATTAAGATACACAGCATTTAGTTCCGAGCTTCAAACTTGTCCCTTTCTTCATCCGGCATTGTCAGCGTTTCGTTAGCTTTGGCGGACATCCTGTACTTAGCCCAGGTGATCAGCATCTTGACTACGTAGTAGCTAAATCGTAACAAGAGCCAATAGAATAATCAGCTAAAACGGCGGCAGGGAACAGACGGTGCAGCTCAGATCATGCGACCTAAAGAGAGCTGCGACAAGGTCCTGAGTCAATTACTACTACTACTACTACTACTACGAGCGTCCGTCAGGGCGGCCCACCCAGACCCACCTAACCTAGGCCCGCTTACTACGTAGGTACCCTCAACGCCAAGAGCTTGGGCGCGCCCAAGACACATTGCTCATGACCGTGAGCAACAGGCGATGCTGCAGTCGATTGTGTATACTATGGACCGTTTCAGCGAAGACAAGACCATCCTCTACATCATCAAGACTACAGTTGGAAACCTAGGATTGAACACATGGAATGATTGCACGACTATCTTCAACCGCTTGGCCTCACGCTATCGGACGTAAGATTGGCTAAGTACACCGACCCGGTGCGCGACGCGTTTACAGTTAACACTGGGGATATGATTGAGGGGCAGACGAACTAGTTGCAGAATTGTAATCGTTTAAGAAAATAAAAAGATAAAGGAAATGGAAGATATCTAGTTTACATGTAAATTTTCATAATGGCTGATCCATTTGTTGTAAGCAGTAACCATCTACAGTAACCCTCAGCAATCCCTCAGCCACAGTACTAGGATCTAATACCCACTTAGACTCGTACTATTTCAACACAAGAGTGACTCCCTTAGAGAGACTTTAGTTCCTGTCCATATATTGCACCAACTATAGCCCTCTCATCAATACTTGAAGACGCGTCACCATGACCGCTATGGGTATGTGCTGCAACAAAATCACTGTGAACCTCGAAGTCGTCTTTAAGGCGCTCGAAATCCTGGTTACGTTTGGTGCCAGTGCCGCCAATGGTGACAAGCTGTGTCTTGCTCGACCGCCCTCCCGTAGCCAACTCATTCTCAGACCGATTCCGAGTGCTGCTGAATTGGGACGAAATGAGGAGCATAAGTGGACGTAACGTGGGCAGACATGCGCTTATGATGCCAGATGCGACCTCGACAACGCACCAGGTGCATGCAGTTGCTAGCGTCCCCGTTGTGTCGTCTGCATCAAATCGCATGATTGTCATAAAGCGGTAGGCACTAGCGAAAAGCACGCTGTGAACCACAGTCAGTAATGAAAACAGTTAAGTTAAGATGGAAGAGCACTGACAATCCTCCAAGCAGGAACATGAAAAGCAAAGACGCGCGTTGAGCGGTCGTTACTTGAAGCTTCAATACTTGAGCGACGGGCATACACAGGATAGCAACGTCTGTCAAGATATTGGGCACAGCATTGCCAATAAATGAAGCCTTGAGGTTGATACAAGTGCCGTCGATTGCAGAACCCATCCAGGCCTTTTTGACTGGAGTGCACTGAAAAATGCTGACAAAATTAATAGCGATAACCCAAGCAATTGTCACGAATCCCAAGATGTATGAGCTGATTCGAAAGCTGTGTGTTGGGAAGATGCGCAGGTACATGACCAGTAAAGAGAGCTTAATTAGCCCTATAGCAGTGCAGTAGACACACTCAAAAGCAACGAGGAGCTATTGTGGTTCAGGTTAGTGGAGTTCACTACGTACGCGATTTATTAGAGGTGGGTTTCATACCTTGAGCACCATAGTGACATTATCGGGAGGCAGGGTGATAGCATGCCTTCCTAAACCCCAATGAATCACTAGAAATATTAGAAAACCCAACAGACTTTAGCAAGTACGAACTTACTGGCGTAATTGAGTCCTCCGGAAATGAAGCAAATAAGCTGCACTTTGGGTAAGCCCAAACTCAGTTGTTTTGAAGCAAAGGTCAGAGACATATAGGCACGTACCAGTGAGAATACAATCATCCAGTCGTCTGCTCCATAACTAAGGCCACGCTTGGAGCGTGCAATGAAGCGCAACGCTACAAAGACAAAGGCAAGAACTAATAGCGCGGTGGTCGTGTCTCGTAGTTGAGGGCCTTGGTCTGACATGTCGTGCTTGGATCGATGCTGAACTATGGCTCCAAACATGGCAACAGGTAGTATAGCAGCATGTTGCAAGTGGGGAGCGCGCAGAATGGTTTCATTTCGTATTTGAAGGCGAGCCTAACAGATACTGAGTCAGGGTGCAAAAGCAATCATGGTCGCTGGAAAGGGTCTCTTGCATGTGGCAAAGGGGCTAGCTACTGCAAGGTGTGTCGGATCAAGGTGGGACGGTTCGTGCGGAGGGGTTTCCCGCCCGTCTATCGGCAGTCTTTGCTGTTTTCTGTTAGGACCTGTCCGGCGGAGCGGCCGCTAGCTCAGCTATGTGCCGTCTATAATGAGGCATCCGCTGCTAGGCGTATTGTAAAAGTTGTGTCCCTAGGTCTTGAGTGACCTTTGCATTTGACTATGCACAAGCAGAGAAGAGACTTACATAGCGGGCAGCGACCTTTTTTAAAGCACACTCCTTCTCTTGTCAATACTACGCACCTAGAGAAGACCGTAAACAAGGTCAAAAATAACAACTGGTGAAGACGACAAGGATGAACCCCGGAAGAAAGCCTGTCGGAAGAAAGCCTGTCGGAAGAAGCCCGTCGGAAGAGGGCTCCCACATCCGCTAGCACGAGTTTATTGTTTATCTGTGCATCTCTATAGGCCCTTCTATTTGCGATCAGCACATAGAAATGTCGCTAAATACCACACCCTGAGTTCAACAAACGAGTCTGAAGCACATTTTGTTTTCTGTACGCCTGGATCCTATTAGCCCCTACCAATCTTCCGTAGCGTTATCCCTTGGTCCCAGATTGCTATCGCCAGCAGCATGTCCAAGCCTACTATCGTATTTGCCCCGGGTGCCTGGCATACACCGGATTGCTACGACACTACCCGCGACCAATTGCACCAGCGCGGATGGGAAACGGAGGCTGTGGCGTATCCTTCTGTAGGAGCAGAGCCTCCTAATAAAGGCCTTGCTGACGACGCTATGGCGTTGCGCTCTACTCTAGAAAGACTTGCCAATGAGTGCAAAGAAATCGTCCTAGTTGTGCACTCATATGGAGGTTTAGTTGGACAAAATGCCCTTCCGGGTTTGGGCTACAAGCAGCGACAGGCAGCGGGTAAGCAAGGCGGTGTCATTATGTTTGTTTACCTCGCTGCTTTTGTCGCTCCAAAGGGGGCGACTATTAAGGCTATGCTTGGTGGTCAATTCTTACCCTGGATGCAATTCGATGTTCGTATATCTACCAGATCCTTCCCACCTAGTAGCAGGGCTAAAATTTAGTTTTAGGGTGATTACTCTTACGCCGCTACGCCCGAGATAGTCTTCTATCACGATCTCAACCACGAAGCACAGAAGGCTGCTATTTCAAAACTAAAGCACCAATCGGCGCGCATTTTCACCGACCAAGTCACTTATGAGCCGTGGCATGAGATCCCGTCAATGTATCTCTTCTGTGAGGCCGATAAAGCGCTTTCACTACCTATCCAGCAACAGATGGCACAGATGCTAGGTGCGGATGTGCCGACCTTCACGTCAATCGGGTCGCATTCGCCTTTTCTCAGCCAGCCCCAGGAGGTTGTTCAAGGCGTAGAGTATGCGGCCAAGCTTGGTCAAGACAAGAAGTAGAACAAGAAAATTCTCAATGTCAAAGACCATTTTTCTAGATTACAAGCTCATTCTTCCCATCGTTCAAGTCCGTCTTGAAATATTATTCTAATCTTCCGGTGAAGCCAGTTTGTTAGCAGTCATTTGATTGATCGCTCCGTTCGTCATCCAGCTCGACATGATGATAAGATTGGTCTTGGCTCCGAGACTGGAAAGGGACGCATGCCATAGGTCGCTTTCCAAACATGGGGTTTTTGTTCATGTTTGTTTTTAAGCCGAAATATGTGACTACACAAATTTGTTAGGCGGTCGAAACTCAAACGTCTTACAAAAAATGTTTTCACTAATGATGCTGTTGAATACATGGCTGCTCCGATATCTTCATGCAAGTCCAGAAGTACATACCACCACCTCACACTAGACATGAGAGACGATCCTAATGTCAAGTCTTCGCCACCTTTTTCCAGCTCTTTACCTGCTAATATCCAGGCTTGGAGGTCTGCAGTGCCTAATGATATTGTTGTGGTCTCAAGTGTCGAGTTCTCAGGTAATGAATCAGAATCTGAGCCATTCATGGTATACGAAGCATCAGACAGAAATTCTGGAGAACCTCTCTGCAGTAGTCTAAATAACTCTGCACTTCTGCATACAAATCCTCACGCGATTCCATGATCAAAACAAAGAGTATCCACAACTAGACATGTATAGCAGTTGTGCATGTAAGAAGTATTGTTTATCCTTGTGTGTATCATGATAGGAGCAAGTTTAGATACAGCGTTATTAGTCAGTGAGTAGCCACGTGACTATACATGGTACTTCTGGGCTTACAGGTCAAATTGCTGCTTGAGTAACATCTATCCCTCCGTGACGGAAATTCCTGTATGCTAGAACTAGCCAATCAGCTTAAAGGTTTCAGGAAGAAGTCGCCGTTTCTCTATTCTCTTAACGCGAGTTTTCCACGGGGTTGGGTCCTGATCTTTCTCTAAGCTCGATCCGGGTTAGAATCAAGTGTTGGAAGCTCAGCCCTGTGCCACTGCGCTACTACAACCAAAAAGGTACGAATAATTAGCGTTCTTGCTAACGTTCTGCACAGGATAGTATATAGGCAGCGCCTGACATAGATTAGAGTCTAACCCTACACTACCTCTACCTATAGCCCGTGCGACTACTACCCAACCCTACTCTACCCTATAGTAGGGGGTATCTGTTATAGGGTAGGTTATATACCTACCCTATTATAGCTTAGTAAGAGAACGGACACTATAAGTAGACACTAGACCTTCGCTACTTCATATAGACCTAAGCAATACAATAACCTT